ACAAGCAATGGATCGAGTGCTAAGTCTACCCGCATTCACAAGAAGGATGGCGAGAAGCTGGGCAAAGTTCGCGATTTTCCTGGTGTTCGCCTGTACGCTGAGCGAGGTGTGACCTTCTGGCGCTTCAATATCGAAGTCGAACTTGGCAGTAGCCAAACACGCATCGCATACAAGATCAATCAAGGCCCCGCCATCGGCTTCTGGGTCCCAGCTAAAGGAGAATCCATGAACATCATGTTTCACAGCTGCAACGGATTCTCGGCCACCGTTGATTCAAATGAATTCTCCGGTCCAGATCCGCTATGGCGCGATGTACTGAACACACATCAGACCCGCCCGTTCCATGTAATGATCGGTGGAGGTGACCAGATCTACAACGATGCTGCAATGAGGGAGACGACCTTATTCAGACAGTGGACCGAAAACAGAAATCCTATGCACAAGCATCACCAGCCATTCTCCGAGGAGATGCAAAACGAGCTTGAGCAGTTCTACCTCGACCGATATGCGATGTGGTTCTCGCAGGGTTTATTCGGTATGGCTAATTCACAGATCCCGATGGTGAATATTTGGGACGACCACGACATTATCGACGGCTTCGGATCATATCCCCACCACTTCATGCAAACGCCAGTGTTCACGGGTGTTGGTGCTATCGCTTTCAAGTACTATATGCTCTTCCAACATCAATCAGTACCCGCAGAAACTGACAAGACTGAACCGTCATGGCTACTTGGAAAGAGCCCAGGCCCATACATCAAAGAGCGCTCTCGAAGCGTCTTCATGCAGCTTGGCCGGCAAGTAGCATTCCTCGGTCTCGACTGCCGTACAGAGCGACAACGGGACGAAATCCTCACCGAGGATTCCTACGACATTATCTTTGACCGTCTGGAAGACGAGATTATCAAGGGTGAGACCAAGCACTTGATCGTGCTTCTTGGTGTACCCATCGCCTACCCTCGCCTGAACTTCCTCGAAAACATACTCACGAGCAGGCTTATGGATCCTCTCAAGGCTCTTGGTCGTGCGGGGATGTTGGGCAACTTTGTCAACAAGTTCGATGGAGGTGTAGAGATCTTGGACGACCTAGACGACCATTGGACAGCCAAGCACCACAAAGAAGAGCGCAACTGGTTCATCAAGGAGCTACAACACATTGCTTCGACCAAATCTGTACGCGTTACCATACTTGGTGGTGACGTCCACCTAGCAGCCGTTGGTCAATTCTACAGCAACAAGAAGTTGAATGTTCCCAAGGACAAGGATCACAGATACATGCCGAACGTGGTATCTTCAGCCATAGTCAACACACCGCCTCCAGACGTGATGGCAGATATCATCAACAAGCGCAACAAGATACATCACCTCGATTCGGAAACAGATGAAGACATGATACCCCTGTTCACTCATGGCGTCGACGGCAAGAAGAGAAACAATACTCATCTGCTGCCTCACCGAAATTGGTGCAGCATTCGAGAGTATAAGCCAGGCTCTTCACCGCCAGGGACACCATCGCCACCCTCGACTCCGAAGAATGGACCGGGTGTGGGAAGATCGATGTCAGACTTTGCACCAGGACAGCTGGTGAGAAGACTGAGTGGCCAGCAGCGAAGACCTTCAGCAAGAGGTCGTGGTCCGCCTCTGTCTTATCGCAACAATCCTGCATATGCTGCTGCCGATGAGGAGCAAATTGGCCACCATCAACCACAGTCGTCATTCTCGCCTGATCGATCCGAGCCAGAAAGGCCCGCTCGTTCACGACGCAACTCTTTGACATCACTCTTCCGTCGCCGTGCATCAGTCGATGCCGCCCGTCCGGACACATCCGAGAGTGCGACACCTCCCCTAAGTCGACACAGTTTGTCGCAGGATAGACCATCTAACTTTCACCGCCGTCCGAGTGTACTCACTAAGAAGAGTGCGCAACACCACGGTCAATTCATCAATCTTGAGGGCGGTCTTGACATCTGTCTCAATGTCGAAGTATCACAGCACGACCCGGCGGGTATCACAACACCATATAGACTGCTAGTACCAGCTCTTACCTATGTCGAGCCTGAGGATGGCGTTGCCGAGAAAGAAAGAACTAAGTCCCGTGGTTTCTTTGGCGCCTTCGGTGGCAAGCGCAAGGCCACGATTGGCGACGACGGAAACTCCATTTCAGGCAGCGAAAGCGGAAGCGAACTTGGGGAAATCTCGAGCGAAGATGAGGAAGAACGCCCAGAACAGAAGTACAAAGTCGGACCCCGGATAATCATGCCGGGCTTTGGGTCTGGCAAAAGGCGTAACTCTGAGTCTGCTACCACCGCTCCCGTCGTCTCCACTGGCCCTGCTGTTCCTGCTGCCCGTGAGAACCTTCTTAGTTCAGGTTTTCATGCTAACACAGCTGCAAACATAGCTCCAACCCAGACGAATGGAACACCTCGCAACCTCGCCCCAGAAAACTATGGACGGCGAAGCATGGATGCAGCTGCAGGTACTTCATCCAGAGCCTCTGCGTGGGAGAACGTTGCCGCAAAACGGCACGTCAGTCAACCGGTACCTCCCTCCGCTACCCAGACGACGACCCAAACGACAGTGGTGCCATCCCGCTCCGCCTCCACACGCAAGCAGCCTACTTATAACTCGTCTCACAAGTCACAAATGCCTGCGCCTTCTCCAGAGGCAACGCCAAAGGTGCAGAGAAGATCAATGGGCGGTATTTTGAACCAACATTCACACGACAAGAAATGGGAGCATGATGCTCACGTCCTTGCTCATACACCATCACAAAAGAAAGCGAAGCGCGAATCGTACCCGCCACATCCAGCGATCGTCGGCGCCGGTCCGAACTCGCCTTACTCACGAGATGGAGGAGGCCTCCAAGCCAGACAAGACACAGCAGGTGGTGACTACTTCACCAGTGGTGGCCGGGACGGGAAGACTCATCCTGCCATAGCGCCCAGACATGTCGTAGATCCGGAGTACACCGAGAAACCAGTCCAACGTGCCGACTATGCTGCACAACCACAACGAAGTGGTTACGACCGTACCTCTTCCTACCCTGCCTATCCACAACGCAACGGCAGTGCTGGTGTTGGGGCAAAGTACCTCGGCGGAGGCAGATACGATGACGAAGAAGACAGCTTCGATAGCGCCGATGAGGATGAGGAAAGCCAAAGTGGGCAAGAGCAGGAGATGAGTCAGGAAAGTTTTGTTGTACCGAAGCGCAAGAAGAAGTGGCAGATTTGGAGGTAACGGCCATCAGGGATTGCTTTGGCTGGTTTTAATGCAATTGGCGTCTGGCTAGACGCGAATTGGTAATGATATTATGAATGGGTACATGACTGGTTGGGCTGCGGCTCAGGGTACATAATGACGGCGTAGCGTATACCATGGTGTGTTTAGCTGGTTTGGCATAGCGAGTTTGGTTGCTTCGAAATATTCTAATATATTGTTCTGGTATTCTCTTACCTATTTCCCCTTGCCAGCACAACACTTCAGTCGCACAAGACGCTTTCGAATGCAATGAACAACATGGAGCCGGCTCTAGACCTGTTGTCTATCCTAAACCCAGAAATAGCTTCTCACAGACTAAAGAGTTGAAGCCTACGCAGGAGACGTTGGATCTCTGCACAAGAAGCTCTATAGACTCGGCTCTCCTGCGCCTACCCATTGATACGCGCAAGGACATCTGCGAACATGTCTCCAGTACAGGCGAGACCATCTTTCATCAGAAGAATAATTCATGCGCAAGCATGTCGTCAAGCCCGAAGGAGAAGGAGAAGGAGAGAAGGAAGGCAAAGATATCCTGGATATCGAGGACAACCACGCTCTCGTTCGCAGTACTCTCAACAACAGTGAGACCAGGAAGCAGAAGGTACCAACAAATACTTTCTCTTCTTTTTTCACATCACGACAAATCTGCCAGGAACTTCACAGTAGTAATGTTGACCCAGGACGAGATGTGTGGGATCGTAGCAGGTGGGTAGATAGGTAAAAAGAAACATCACTGTGCGAGGACAGCCCCGCCTACAAAAAGACAGCTCCTTCGCAAGTGAGCGATGCGGGAACAATCACCATGTGCACACAAAAGAGCAAAAAATGAGATCAATCTTTAGTCCTGGTGGGGCTGGGAGAATTGTTAGTTAAGGAACTCGAATCACTCTATCATGGAAATCACGTACTTCGAACCCACGGCATCCGCATAACCTTAGATGAGGTCATAAGAGTCTGACGAATCTTATAAGAACGGCGCGCTACCACTGCGCCACAGGACTTTTTTGTCCCTGGACTTGTTTTTGCATTTTTTCAGAAATCACAGCAATATATTGGAATATGTGCGCGACAAAACATCGAGCTTTGCTTTGGCCAAGCAGTCGGAATCGTTCGACATCGCACAGATACCAAGGGCGGGGCAATGCAAACGTCGGTGAGTGATGACACAAAGAACGCCGCTAGCCGGTGGGGTGGCTGGCGTGAGGGGGTCGGCCAACCACATCCGCTTAGATCCATCTTGCGACATCTACCACGGTGCTCTCTCTTGCAACCATTACTTCACATCTTATACAATCACCCGCGAAACGCGTAGAGTTGTCGTCAAGTCTCCCAAAGAATTTATCATTCGGTAAGCCGCTATTCCAAGCCTCTCTTATGAACCCGTAGACTTCCTTCTTCATGCGTGGCGGGCGTCCTAGGTCGTTGCTTCTTTGGGAGTATGGAGCTTGACAGCAAGATACATTCAGCCATGAACAAAAGCTATTCGCAGTCGTCAACCAGTTATCTGCTTGACGATGCGATGAACCTGGTCATGCTCCACATCGAGTCTGGATATATGCTCATCATCCTTGGAATTGGGTCTACACCGCTTCTGAAACTTTACCAGCACCCAAAGACCCTGTAGCTGCATACCTAGGTAGCGAGCTCAACAGAAGGCTCAGGATCTGGAAATAGGTATCTTCTTATCCCAAGAGTGGAACTGACATCTCACAGAGGTACCTTCTTCTAAGGCCTGTTCCAGTATGACGATCAGAGCTAGCAGATTCACACCTGAAGTGCTCTTGGAAGCACCCCGCCGTTCGGAAGGCGTTCCAAATTCTAATGCATCAAGAGTTTTATACTCCGTCTCGACATACAGCTTCTCTGGGCATTCGAAGAAATCTGAGATTCGTGTTCTGGATTCAGCAAGCCAACAAACCAGTCTCGTCACAGATGATGCATCCTTTAGCGAACCTTCGTGGCTAGATGATGAAACAATATTGCTATTGAAGTCCAATGACGATGGAACTACAAACATAATCGTTGGATCTCCAGACAACTTCGAGAAGAGGTACGATCGGTGCTATCATCGCGAGTGTACGCCAGCTAACAATGCTCTAGCAAACACACTGCTGGCACGATACAAGGACCAGTAAGCGACTCCAAGATCTATGCTCTTGGTGGCGGTGTCTTTGGTCTCGCTGTCGTTGGCAAAGCCAAGCCAGATGGCACACTTTTCAACCCAGAGAAGGCCGAGAAACCTCACTCATCAGGCAAGCTGTACAAGTCTGGGTTTGTTCGCCACTGGGATCATTACGTGACAGAGAATCGGAACACGATATGGCTTGGCAAGCTTCAGCAGAAGAAATTGGAAAAGTCTCATGTCTTCGAGCTTGGACATCCTCTAACGAATGCGCTGAAAGGAACGAAGCTGGAGTCACCAATCGAACCCTTTGGTGGAAAAGACCACTTCGACATATCGAAATACGGTCTCGTGTTCACATCGAAGGATCCTGATCTTAATCCCGCGACGCACACGAAAACCAACATCTATGTTTCCGCATCTGACAGCTTCTGGGATGATCTCCACTCAAAAGACATGCCGGAAATCCAAAAGGCTACCATCGAAGGCTTTGAAGGTGCCAGCACGTCTCCAGTCTGGTCAAACTCGCGCGGCATGATCGCGTTCCTTTCCATGAAAACTGATGGGTACGAGTCAGACAAGAACCAACCGTTCATTATCCACGATTATAAGAAACCATCCCAAGTCACTCTGCTCTACGGTTCTGAGGATGGTAAAGGAAAGTGGGACCGAAGCCCACAGTCCATATCGTGGAGCCCCGACGACTGGCGCCTTTACTTTACTGCAGAGTCACATGGTCGTGGAAACCTGTACAGCGCTGGGCCTCCTAATCCAAGCGGAGAGAAGGAGCCTCTGCCATCGCTTCTTATAAAGGGGGGAACGATCGGCTCTGCAAAGGTGCTCAAGAATGGCGACGTTTTCGTGACTTCGACTAGCTTGATTGAGAACTCGCTATACTCCCTTGTCCCTCTAAGCACTCAAAGCAGCGATACGGCTGTCTACGATCTTCCTATTGATGATAGACCGTATGATGCGGATCCTGATCATCTGACAACCAAATACATCTCTTCGAACACGCGTTCTGGGTCTATGTTTGGTCTGTCACGCCATCAGATCGATGAGATCCATTGGGACGGTGCCGCATCCGGCACCAAGGTTCATGCTTGGGTTGTAAAGCCCAGCAATTTCTCGTCCAAGAAAACTTATCCGCTCGCCTTTCTCGTTCATGGCGGACCGCAAGGTGCATGGACTGATGGATGGAGTACGCGGTGGAATCCTGCCGTATTCGCAGAGCAAGGCTACGTTGTCATTTGCCCGAACCCTACTGGAAGTATGTGAATCCAAGGTATATACTCTACGAAGACAGAAACTGACATGATATCTTAGGCACCTCTTACGGTCAAGCCTTCACAGATGCCATCCAGGGCCAGTGGGGTGGTCTGCCGTACGAAGACCTTGTGTTGGGCTTCGACTACATCAAGCAGAACGTCAATTACGTTGACACAAAACGCGCCGTTGCCCTCGGTGCCTCTTATGGCGGGTATATGATGAACTGGATTCAAGGACACCCTCTCGGCCGCGAATTCAAAGCCTTGGTAACCCACGATGGTGTCTTTAGCATGTCCGGCCAGATGGCATCTGAAGAGTTGTACTTCCCTTTCCATGATATCGAAGGCACACTCTGGAACAACCCGGAAAACTGGGCCAAGGTAAGTCATAACTGGACGAGATGCAAGTGGGACGTGTGCTGACTTCGTATCTTCACTTCTACAGTGGGACCCGTCCAGGTTCACGGAAAACTGGGCCACACCGCAACTCGTAATCCACAGCGAACTAGATTACAGGCTAACGATCAGTGAGGGTTTGGCGGCTTTCAACGTGCTGCAGTGCAAAGGAGTAGAGAGCCAGTTCTTGACCTTCCCAGATGAGAACCATTGGGTGCTGAAGCCCGAGAATGGGCTCGTTTGGCATAAAGTTGTTTTGGACTGGATCAACGAGCATGTCGGATTGGAGAAGTACACGGAGGCCCAGAAGGTGATCAAGCAGGAGTAACGTTTTAGTAGCCACCTCCTACGATATGATATGTTTCATGTTCCGTACGGACACATGACGTGCCTCGTTGTATATGCGTTCTCGTCGTTATGATATGATGTGAACGTTCGTGATGAGAAGAAGCTTGTATGTATATAGATTCACCTATTCGATCATGCTTTCAAGGTACTCGCTATTGTTTGTGTCAATGTTTGATGAGACACGATTCTGTAGTCGTGGTTCTCGTACGCGCTGCGCTTGGAGGTAGCGCGTTGGTGCTATCGATAAGAGATCCCTGGATTATTTTCTCGGGCGGCTCGTCGCGACCAGAACTTTTCCTCACTACGCAGCCCATTACCCACCACAACAAGGGCCACACGAGTCGCCGCCCGTCAAGTTACCCGATACTCTTTCGCGACCCAAACACTATCGAGAGATCGCTTGCGCCACCCCAGACCCGCTCGTTATCGAAGAAGAGGCGGCAACGCCTGCGGAGCTCTCAAGATGCCGAAGAAAGCTATCGACTCCCGTATACCGGCCCTTATTCGCAATGGCGCCCAGGAAAAGAAGCGCAGCTTCTTCGTAGTAGTTGGCGATCGCCAGAAGGATGTCATTGTCAATCTCTACCACATCCTTCTGAACGTGGATGTCAAGTTGAACAAGTCGGTGCTGTGGGCGTACAAGAACAAGCTACTAGGATTCTCAAGTCACCGTAAGAAGCGTGAGAAGAAGATCAAGAACGAGATCAAGCGTGGGATCCGCGATGTCGATACCGAAGACCCGTTCGAACTATTCGTCTCGACACAGAATATCCGATACGTCTACTACAAGGAAACCGAGAAGATTCTGGGTAACACATACGGCATGTGTATCCTGCAAGACTTCGAAGCGCTTACGCCAAACCTACTAGCAAGGACGATAGAGACGGTTGAAGGCGGTGGACTGGTCATATTGCTGTTAAAGGGCATGAGCAGCTTGAAGCAGCTATACACAATGTCCATGGACATTCATTCAAGATATCGGACCGAAGCTCACAGCGACGTGGTAGCGCGTTTCAATGAGCGCTTCTTGTTGTCACTCGGAAAGTGCGATAGTTGCTTGGTTGTCGACGACGAGCTGAACGTGCTCCCCATCTCAGGCGGAAAGCATGTTAAGCAGCTACCGCCACCAGACCAAGAGTTGGAGGGCAAGACACCGAAGGCGAAAGAGTTGGCTGAGATCAAGGAGTCGCTAGCAGACTCGCCTCCAACTGGAGACTTAGTCAAGCTCGCAAAGACTGTAGACCAAGCGAAGGCGTTGCTGACATTCGTGGAGGCTATTGTCGAAAAGACGCTTCGAAGCACCGTGACCCTGACCGCGGCCCGTGGACGTGGAAAGTCAGCAGCTTTGGGTGTTGCAGTGGCAGCGGCAGTAGCGCATGGATACAGCAACATCTACATCACATCACCTAGCCCGGAGAACTTGAAGACGCTTTTCGAATTTATTCTCAAGGGATTCGATTCCTTAAACTATGCAGACCATCAAGACTACACCATCATGCAGTCTACACAACCGGATCAGAACAAAGCTATCGTAAGAATCGAGTTACACCGCCAACACCGCCAAGTCATCCAATACATCAGACCCGAAGACTCGCATGTCCTAGGACAGGCAGAACTCTTGGTTATTGATGAGGCTGCAGCAATCCCTCTCCCACTCGTACGGAAACTCATGGGGCCATACCTGGTTTTTATGGCCTCGACCATCAACGGATACGAGGGAACTGGTCGTTCGCTCTCTTTGAAGCTCATACAGCAACTTCGCGAGCAGTCGCGAGGCAAGGGTAGCAATGGCTCGACTTCCGTGGTAGACCGTTCGACTGGAAAGGAAACAAAGGACGCTACAGAGACATCTATGACCGGCCGATCTCTCCGGGAAATTACACTGTCAGAACCTATTCGATATGCCCAAGGTGATTCTGTCGAACGATGGATGAACGATCTTCTATGTCTTGATGCAACACTACCCCGAAGGTCGATCACCCAAGGATGCCCTCATCCGGACAAATGCCAGCTCCTTCATGTCAACCGCGATACCCTCTTCTCCTACAACCCTGCTGCCGAGAAGTTCCTTCAGAAGATGATGGCGTTGTACGTAGCTAGTCACTACAAGAACACGCCCAACGACCTCCAGCTCATGTCAGATGCACCTGCACATCAGCTGTTCGTACTCACTGGACCTACGGAGGAGAACAAGCTCCCTGAACCTCTCTGTGTCATCCAAGTAGCCCTTGAAGGCCAAATTAGCAGGGAGAGCGTGTTGAACAGCCTGAGCAGAGGACAACGTGCAGGCGGTGATCTGATCCCTTGGATCGTTTCACAGCAATTTCAAGACGAAAACTTCGCCAGTCTTTCAGGAGCTCGTATTGTGCGAATAGCAACTAACCCAGAGTATGTCAACATGGGATACGGATCAAAGGCGCTACAGCTTCTTGTTGACTTCTACGATGGCAAGCTTGCCAGCTTGTCGGAAACCGAGCCCCAAGAGGTGGAACAGATGCGAAGAGTGACAGAGGAAGATTTGGAGAATGAGTCGCTCCTCAAAGACAATGTCAAGATTCGGGAAGCCAACGAGATGCCACCGCTGTTTGCCCGGCTACAAGAGCTGAGGTCGCCAAAGCTCGACTATGTTGGTGTTTCGTATGGCCTTACATCTCAACTTCACAAGTTCTGGAAACGCGCGTCCTTCGTCCCGGTTTACCTCAGGCAAACACCGAATGATCTCACCGGAGAACATACGTGCATTATGCTGCGTTCGCTCGAAACCACTTCGTCAGACGGAAGCTGGGTTGCTGCTTTCGCTAAGGACTTCCAGAAGCGCTTCCTCTCCCTTCTGTCATACCAATTCCGGTCATTCCCCTCAATCACCTCTCTTTCAATAGAAGAGTCCGCATCAGCAGGATCTAAACTAGACGCCGACCTCGCCGCGAAACCCATTAGCAAAGCCGAATTGGACGCTCTCTTTACGCCTTTCGACCTCAAGCGTTTAGACTCTTACGCGAATAACATGCTTGACTACCACGTCATCCTAGACATGTTGCCTCCCATCGCCACTCTCTTCTTTACTGGCCGTCTCAAGGGCCAAGTCAAACTTAGCGGTGTTCAGACTGCACTACTTCTTGCCATTGGGCTGCAACGCAAAGAGTTCTCCGATGTGGAAAAGGAACTCAACCTCAACTCTAGTCAGCTGATGGCCATGTTCGTCAAGATTGTACGAAAGGCCGCCACAGCATTCCGCGGTATAGTAGAGGGCGCCGTTGAGGAGACTATGCCCGACGCTATGGAGGTAGAAGAGAATGGCGCTGATGGTGAGGCCGCCAATGACGCCCACCGCTTCATGCCCCTTGAGAAGGATTTACAGGAGGAGCTTAGGGAAGGTGGGGATGAGTTCCTGGCCGAAGACAAGGAAAGACAAAGGAGCATGATTGATGCTTTGCCTCTGCACAAGTAAGTCCATCACAAACGATATTATGTCCACTTATACGCATTGCTAACCTTGCTACCCAACAGATACGAAATTGGTACAGGAGCTGCTGACTGGGAAGAAGCCGAACGCGCTATCCAAAACGCGGCCAAGAAAGGCGGCGCTGGTAGCATGACTGTCGCTGTCAAGACAGGCGAAAAGAAGAGGAAAGTCGGCGAGGCGGTTGAGGAGGCGTACAAGGAGGCTGAGAAGTTCAAGGAAGGTGCTGCCAAGAAGAGCAAGAAGCACAAGTCTGGTAAGAAGGCTTGATTGAAGACGCGCTGTGCATGCATAATTAGGGAGTTTCTCAGGCGTATCATTTATCTATGGGAAAATCGGTGCTGTCTGTGTATAAGTACTCAATCAACTAGTCCATGATTGATATCTCACCACAAAGGAGCCTCTTGTTTCGTAAATTCTAACTATCTTTAAATATGTGCCCTAGAGGAATGCGTTGTTAGTGTCCTATCAAGGTTGTAACCCAGAACTCCATATATACTTTCAGGGAGCGCTTTGCCCAGATGGTGATTCACAAATACAACTCAAGTAACACGAGCTTCTTTGTGTACATTCATCGAAGCCCAGATGCCCGATCAACTGAAGCGGAAGATTATGATATTATATATGCATATAAGATAGTTTAGAGGAGAGCCCATGTCGCTACCATCAATACGTTTGCTAACGAGAAACAGATTCGAAATGATTCAATCATGGGGATATCATACGCATAATCACGAACAATGTGGAAATGGAGACCGACATATGCGCTCTCCCTCCCCAGTCCTTCCCCTTCTCCACCTTCAAGTCAAACTCCGACTAGGGACGGACACTCCATGACACCGTGTTCCCTGATCTTACACAGTGGACACCAGTCATCCACGTTTGTAACATCTGCACCCTCGTTCTAAAAGGCGTCTTCATTTGGGCAGGCCGTAACATCGTGTCCCTCACTCTCGCACAATGCGCACCACTTATCCGGGTCAGCGATAGCTGCGCCCTTGGGTGGCACGAGATCGGAGTTTGACGCGTTGAACGAAGGAGTGGGGAGAGGGGCTGTGGGCGCGCTGCCGGGTGGTTTCGATGGGCTAAGAGCAGGGGGCCGGGCGCGATCAGAGGAGACGGACAGGCCGCGGAGGCCTTCGATGACAACGTCTTTGCCATTGCGTAGACCGTCTTCCTTGGGGTACGAACTATCTCCGCCCATAGCGGAGCAATTCAGAATGTCATGGCCGCCTGTTTCGCAAATTTCGCACCAGAGGAGGCTGCTGTTAGCGGAGGAGCGGCCGTCAGATTCCGGCATTGCGGAGAGCGCAGGAGGCGCATCGCGACGAGGGTGCTGAGACGGTTCTCTCCAATCAACAACAGTATCTTTAGAATCTCGCTCTGACGGCTTTTCTGGTATGGCGGTGTGCTCTGACATGCCGTTGCTGATCACGCTTTCCCGTTGCTCTGCAAGGCCAAGTTGAGCTTTCAGCTTCTCCAGCTCACGTTCTAGCTCTTCTTCCCGGTAGGCTTTGCGTTCTACAAGACCGCGGAGTTCCTCTTTTTCGCGCTCGAGACGTTCTGCGTTTGCTTTCGCGGTTTGGAGCTCCTCGGCATCAACAGACGAGTTTTGCCGCGACAAAGGTGAGCGCCGGTCATCTCCTCCACCAGAGCTCAATGAATGTATGATGGCCTTTAGACCACGAATCTCATCGTCGCGTTGCTCGACTTCCCTTTGTCCTGGTGTGTGAGGCGCCTCGACCATTGCGCCAGCCCCCTTAAGAGCAGCAGCAGCCTTTTCGCGCTCGCGACGGAGTTCGGATCTCCCTCTCTCGACTTCTCCACGCAGGAACTCGACTTCGCCTCTGGCCTCTGCTTCGCCCCTACGCGCGTCTTCCAGGCCTTCTTCCAGCTCTTGTACAAGTTCTTCCAGTTGCTTCAACTGCATTGCTACAGTCTCGACATCTTCACTACGAGACGCATACTCACGCAACTCTTCTTGTAGCTCCTCTACCTTCTTCTCGTAAACGCGCTCAGTTTCAGTGCTCGCTAGCTCTAGGGTGTCGATTGTGCTTCGGAAGTCGGATCGATGTGCGTCGAACTCAGATGTGAGCATAGCGATCTTATCGTTCTTCTCTCTGAGAAGTGCTCGTAGTTGCGCTACATCAGTCGGCTCACTGCTGCCATGCGCTGATCCCATATCCATTCCGTCCTCAGGTATCAGGCTCTGAATTTCCGTCAAACTCGCTTCCATCTCGCTCAGCGACGCTGCTTGCTCCTGAAGCTGCTTCTCCTTTTGTTCCAACTGCGCCTGGAGGCGCTGCACCTCTTCATTCGGAGACGAGCCTAGCCGAGAGCCCGGCCTACGATGCTTGTAGCTGGCCATGGAATCATTGCTGGTTCGCGCTGCACCAACTGGCGTCGTCTCGTTGTCCTCCTCGATAGTATCCTGATGACCAAGACGAGAACTGCTTCGCGAGTAGGGTCGTTGGGGACCGGGTGTCCGTGGCTTTGGTGGAGGAGCAGCCCTGGGCGCAGGACTGGCGTAACGAGGAGGTGCGGGACTTGCGAATCTTGGTGGCGCGCCGATTGCGCTCTTGGAGAAGCCAGAGGGTGTCAGTCCGCCGCTCCTGGCAGGGGTTGCACTGGGCTTCTGGCGATAGGGAGATTCTGGTCTGAATGAGGGTCGTACTGCTGAGGGTACCCTCTTGGGACTGGTGGTACGGGTACCGGGGCCGACCGACTGGGAGAACTTGGGCAGTGGCATTGACGGGGTATCCGGACTGAAGCTGGGCTTCTCCGTGGTCGAGAGGCTAAAGTTGTTGTGGTACGAGGGCGTGGTAGGCTCAGGTGCGAAGTCAGACGAGTCGGCCGAGATACGCTTCTGTGCGCGGTGTACGGGCAGGAAGATGCCAGAGCCAGGGACAGAGGTATCGAAGTATTGTGTACTGGAGAGACATCAGTATGCGCGCATACGTCGAGCGTTGTGTATGCGTACCCATCGACTGCGCCGTCGTTCTTGCCCCGCGCTGCATACTCGCGGTTCAGTTCTACTCCCGCGAAGACGCCCTGTTTACCCCGAATGCTGCCAACAAACTTGACGACACCGATCATGCCGCCTGGCACGTCGACCGTGTCGCCGACGTCTATGTCCTTTCCGTCTGCGCCCATCCTGTTTGATGGCGAGCCTCCAGCGCCTACTAATGCTGATAGCGATGCTTGCCGTGCGATGTTTCTGCTGGCGTTTAACGAAAGGTTGGGCGACGAGGCAGTGGGGTGGAGAGCAGGGCGCGCTCCAAGACGCCTAGGAGTGTGCGGGTACGCCATACCGGACGGCTCGTTTGACAGGGTCGACCTGTTTGGAGTGTCACAGGGCAGGCAGGACGGTGTTTGTTTTGATGAGATGGTATGGCAGGGGTTGGACTGCCAACGTAGCGGCGACTGAGGAGCATGACTTAATTAACCGATCGTTGCCCAATCCATCGCACCCCTCGCATCAGGGGAAACGCCTCTCCTTTCCCTCCGCAACCCATCCTTCCACCACACTCTCGTGTCTTCTCGTCGTCTCGTATTTTCTGAAGCATCGTCAAAACTGTCATGAACGGTCGTACTAGACATGGTACACGACAGTAGCGTACAGATCATCCAAGTATGGGAACGGTCAAAAAGCAAGACGGTTCAATACCAATGACACCATAGTAACGGCCTTGTACATCGACACGATGAGATTGTCATCTGCATACTAGACAATGCTACTGGCTGTCTGAAGCGTACGAGGTTTCGTCAAGTGAATTGACTTTCACATTTCAGCCACCTCATTCAACCATCCCAGCATTATATCAATGTTATTAGGATGCAAGCCATGTGTCTTCCCGCTCGAAGCCACAAAAGCATAACAATCAAATACGCGTAGTTAGTCTCCGACGCAAACCATGTCCTTGCTCGCGGACGCAAGGACGCCGAACCTTGCGCATCGAACGCGTGGGCACGTGAGGACGAGCAGGAGCGGGGGAGACAGTCAGAACTTCCGGCAGCCGCGTAATCGGGCATGATATGTGCTGAAGTCTGGGCAGATGAAAATTATCAAAACAAATGTAATAGGCGATAGTTTGATTTTTAGCTGCGAACCTAACAGCACGATCGAACGACAATAAATTTGATCATCAGAGGCAAAAGTCATCAAGATTGCAAAGCGAAGAGGATAACAGTCCCCCAAGACCGTTCTTTTGATGCCTTCTCTTGCAATAGCAAAGAAACGTTAAAACATAGAAAAGTCCCTACAGCATCGATTCAGATAACCGCGGAGTCGCAGGCATTCCCGACTCGCCGACCGAGCGCATTTCCCCATGTTCCACAATTGCCTCGGCTCACGCTTCGGTGATGGTCAACCGCGCCAACTACATCACCGCTCGCGCGCCCACACCATGTTTACTCAACAGACGCTTCCAACATGGCTGGCAACGTACGACAACCAATCGACATCGCCTCGTTGGAGCGCTATGTCACCGCAAATGTACCCGAGATTAAAGTCCCGCTGGATGTGAAGCAGGTACGTCTGTTCCGGAAGAACTGGGGACGTTGTTTGGAAACGAGAGCTGATTGATCATGTAGTTTGGTTATGGACAGTCAAATCCAACGTATCAGTTGACCGATAAAGATGGAAAGAAATACGTTCTGAGGAAGAAACCCCCGGGTCAACTCTTGTCAAAGGTATGACGAGGCTTTCCATTCGAGAAGCCCATCACCGTAAGCTGACTTGAAGCTGTGTAGACAGCGCACAAAGTCGACCGCGAGTACAGAATCATCCACGCACTGGAGAACACAGATGTCCCTGTTCCGCGTGCACTATGTCTCTGTCAAGACCAAGCCGTCATCGGCACCGACTTCTACATTATGGACTTTCTCGATGGGCGCATCTTTGAGGATCCTGCGATTCCAGGCGTAACAGCCGAGGAGCGAACGAAGATGTATGAAGTCCTCATAACCATGCAGAAACAAAACACCGTGCTAACAAGTACTCTTAGGTGGCACTCCGCAATCACCACGCTCGCGAAATTCCACCGCGTATCTCCATCTTCTGTAAACCTTTCATCATATGGCAAGAACTCTGGTTTCTACGACCGCCAGATCGCAACCTTCAACACAATCTCCCAGTCGCAAGCTTCCGCCAAAGACAAGGAGACTGGAGAACCGGTAGGAAAGATACCACACCAGGACGACATGGTGGCCTTCTTCAAGGACCCAAAGACACAGCCAAAAGACCGCGCAACCTTTGTACATGGCGACTACAAGATTGACAATGTTGTCTTTCACAAGACAGAACCCAGGGTAATTGGCATTCTGGACTGGGAAATGAGCACCATTGGGCACCCGCTATCTGATCTGAACAACGTCCTTGCGCCCTACGTGACAGCGTCGAATGAAATCGCCATGTCTATCGGGCGCGCGCACAAGGGTTTCCAGCCTGGAGCTACACCCGGATTGCCCACGCGCGAGCAACTCATCGCATGGTACTCGGAGGTCGCCGGCTGGGACCCGAGACCTGATTTTACTTGGGGCGACGCGTTCAGTACATACAGGAGTGCTATCATCATGCAAGGAATTGCGGCACGATATGCATTGAGACAAGCGAGTAGCGAGCAGGCGCAGACGTATGCGGCCATGATGAAGCCTTATTCGGAGATTGCATGGGGCCTTGTGCAAAAGTTCAAGAGCGGGCATGAGGAGAGAGCGAAACTGTAGTCCCTTGATCTGTGTAAGCTATGTATTAGCGAATACATCTCAAATATGCTGGAATCGTCTGAGAATAGCGTCGTCTGGGAGCTGTAAAGGTGGTCTGTTGATTCTCTGACTCTGAAGATAGAAATGGCCGGGCTCCTTTGCACTTTTCTCTACCAGATTCTTTTATCGAGATCCAAGCCTATCTTTGCCCCAGAAAATTGCCCAAAGCTGGTATCGTATGAGTACAGTATTGTCCTGTAAATTTGAAAATGTCAACACATGTTCCGCAAGACGTCCTCCATGATCGTGATGCTCTGAGTGGTCAGGCGTAGAAAGGGGCCCGATGAGGCATACCCGTAAGTGTTCGCGCCTCAAACGCCCATGCGCCTTGTAATGCCCTGATTCTGCCATCTGCCTTGCTCTTGCCGTCGTTCGATGTACCACAGATGCTGTGTTACTCGTCGCTTGCGCGTGTAGTCTTCTATCGTCCGATCTTGGGTACGTCCTGGTTGATGCGGTCAAGCGCCTGCGATTTGATTAGCTTTTACTTCTATCCTTTCTGGACTTGGGACTGCATACTTCAAGCATGACCACGGCGTTTCCTCGGATGACAACCATGCCGATGCGCACCTTCTCACCGCCAGCCTTCTCTTCTAGCGCCTCGTCGAGTACAATGTTTAAGTAGACCTACTCAGTATCAGCTAAGTCCACAAGCGGTGTGGAATGGAGAAACATACATCGTATCCACGGAGGATGCCCATAACTTTGCGACTTCCATTGAGCTGGACAAGGACGCGCTTCTCGAGGTACTTTAGAAGGTTAGGATCTGGAGGTATAGGTCGGCGTTGTGAACTCACCTTCTTGAGCTCCGGCTGTGCTTGGGGCATCTTGGCGGGTTTAATTTGTTTTGAGCTTGGGTGCGGCGGTACAGGGTCCCGGTGACGGTTTCAAGTTGGTTTGCTCGTGTTGGTCGTTGGTGAGCTAAAGACGCGCGTGATGTTAGCAAGAGCAGCGTTGCGCATGGTGGTGGGATAGCTCCATGGGATTTTGCGGAGGGCCCGTGCGTAGGCGGCAGCCACGACATGTGCGCGCGAACGCATCTCTTTCACACCACACCCACGGTTTCCATGTGACGGAGAGACTTTCCGCATAACAATCCTCATGATGAAGCGATCCGGTTCTACACGCGTCGCGCGCAAGATTGGTAGCTACGATGACGACGAATCCACCGCCGAGAGCGCCAACAACTCGCAGAGCGAAGTACAGAAGCCTACAGGTCAGTCACCAATGATCGCAATTGCCAGCCTTTCTGACGTTGGGGAAACTCACAGCGAATCTCTCCAGGCCGACCTGAAAGCTGGCGACTCTGGTGGCTTTGTGCTAACTGGCCTTGTAGTCGTCAAGCGGCCAACGATTGGTAAAGCAAAGAAGCGTTCATCCATGCGGGTGTCTTTTGGCCCAGGAGAAGACGCAAATGACGGCGACGACTCGAGCGACGCAGCCGTCGTGACCCCGAAGAAAGCGAACCTCAGTCGCATAGCCCTAGAGAAGAGTGCGCAACTGCGGGCGCGTTCACCCCTCGTACCAGAAGCCGCTCGACCAACCGAATACAGCAAGGATTACATAGCAGAGCTGCGAAATTCGACGCCATCAACACCTCAGGACTTGAACACGTCCGCCGACGACCAAGAAGAGACGCAAGCCCTCGATATCGCATCGAAATTTGGCCCTGTCGCTTCGCTTGAGGCGTCATCCGCAATCCCCACAGAAGCTGAGATTCGAGAGAAGAAGGCGCGGAGAAGACGTTTAGCCCTTGAGGAGAACGCCATAGACGATGAGGATCGCGCATGGGCATCTGACGATCAGGGAGAGGACGAGTTCAGGCAACACAGGAATGAAATCTCTCTACGGCCGAAGGACAAGTATGCAGAGACGCGTTTGATACATGACGATGAGGATATAGCCGAGGGCTTTGACGATTTTGTTGAAGATGGCAAGATCTCGCTCGGTCGCAAGTCAGAAAGGGAAGCGCAACGAAGACGGCGTGCGGAAATGGCAGAACTTATCAATGACGCCGAGGGTGGCTCAGGAGATGACGGGACAGAGGACTCGGACGAAGAGAGGAACACCGCTTTCGCAGCAGCTCAAGCACGCGCAGGGCGATACGGCCAGAAGATCGAAGACGAAGACGACGGTACGAAGACACCTCCGCGCATCACGCCCCTGCCAGACTTGGACGAGGTCCTCGAGGGTCTCACAATCGATATACAAACAAAGCAGCAGAAGAAGAACTTGATCTTGCAGAAGCTGCAAGATCTCAAAGACGACAGGGTCAGGATTGAGGAGCGGAAGAAGTATCTCCAAGAGCAACTGCAGAAAACAGGCGACGAGTATGAGAAGTTACGCCAGGAGTCAGGTCTTCCTGCGTTACCGGCAAACAGTGCTGAGGGAGGCCGCTTGATCACAGAGAGGGGGTTGGACAGCTTGGGTACTACTCCATTGGCCGGCACTACACCAATAGCTGGTAGATCTGGCGATGAGTCTGATGTTGAGTAGCGTTTGTTTGAACTGGAGTTTCTAGCTCTAGCAGGGAGATGCTGGGCTACCTGTGCAGTAATATTAAGAAGATCATTCATGAAAGCGTCTGAATGCTCCTATAACGCCTGATGACTGCCATGATATAATACAAAAGCCTGAAAGCTCTCTGACGATCGTGTCCGTAAACTCCCATCCATATGCAATTCCTCGTCCTCGCAGTATGCTCTGCGCAAGCGCCTAGTGCCTCTATCGCACGTCTTTCTTCCTTCTCATGCTCATTTGTTCTCGTCCAACTCCTTCCACACCTTCTGTATCCTCTCCCTCTTCTCCTTAGCCGCCTCGCGATTCGCCTTTGTCTTCTCAAGTCGCAGCCCGCGCAGGCACATGTTGACTTTGTATTTCGCGTCGGTACAATTGCCCGTCACTTTCCAGAGGAAGCCTTGGTTGTGGCATTCTTCTAGCGCTGCGACGACATCTGCGCAGTCTTGGGGGTAGGTGTTAGAAAGGCCGAGTAGGATTGGCAGAGGGGGAGGGGTGGCGCACTCTTTTGAACTTCTTCGGTGTGTAGATGAGGATGCATCGTGGATGTGCGCGGGGTTTTTCGTCGGCGACGATATCTGGTACGAATGCTGGAGAGTACTTTATGAAGCTGTGCTGGTGGACCGAGTCGGGACGGGATCTTGAAGACCTCGAAGTTGCCGACGAATCGTTGAAGATCTGGTGAACTACGTCCGAGCGCGCGCGCCTTCGCGGAAGCCACTTCATATCAAAACCCCCAAGATTCGCGTGGATTTTCTACTCTACTCGTGTCACGATCTTTTACCCTTCGCTGGACGTTACGAGTATCTTTCCTCTTTAGGCGTGCGTACCACGCCTTGAGTCAAGAATCTTCTTTCTCCTCCGGGTTCCCCGCAACGACCGTCGACGCTGCTCCTCCCAGGATACACATCAAAAAGCTACATCGTCAGTATGGCGTCTCAACAACAGTTGAAGAAGCAGCAAGGTATATGGTGGCGATGATTGATTCTGTCGAACTCGCTGACCCGTGAACAGAGCTCCAAACCACATATCAAAACTACAAGGTCAGGAAAGATGGTACCCATGTAGAATATGCAAACTGATTATATGCCAAGAACACACTTCAAACGATTGCCTCAAAGATTGGCGATATCGAACAAGAGACTGAAGAGCACAAGTAAGTTTGGACTATATCACAACTATGAAGCCACGATACGCCATCTTTCGCAAACCTTCTTACACCGCTTCTCCCTTGCGCCAGCCTTGCATCGCTCCATGACTTAGGATTTCTAGTCTATTACACCGCTCTCTATCCCCATTACGACACAGGAAATACTGACAAACACCAGACTCGTCTTGGAGACGCTGCAACCACTGCCAGGAGACCGGAAATGCTTCCGCATGATCAACGGTGTCTTGACTGAGCGAACAGTCAAGGACGTTGTACCGATCCTACAGACCAATTCAGACGGTCTGAAGCAGGCACTAGAAGAGCTAGTCAAGCAGTACAAGTTGAAACAAGATGAAATGGAGAAGTGGAAGGTACGTCCGCAGTGTGCTTGAATCTTGCACAGCTTTGAGCCAGGCTTCTGTTTCGAGACTACAAGACTAACTCTGCCGCTATAGAAGAAGAACAATGTCCAAGTCGTCCAACAGCCAGGGCAATAGAAAGATACCAGTCATGCAATGACCCTTTGACAGGACGGACACACTGCATACGCTGGAAACCACATAAGATGATGCAGACGAGTACAGCGGCAATGTCTCCAGTAACTGGAACTGGTATGGATGCAGAGGGACCCTGTCAGGGTTTTGTGTGCTTCATGGCGGAGTATACGGCTGCAATTGGGTATCTCTGTGTTCTGATTTTGCACAGTATACCACAGCAGAATAACATAGCCTCTTGACGACAAGTGAAGGCTTGCCGGTGGACAGCGTCTATATCAATCGTGTAGTATACCTCACACAATCATACGGGAGACCAAATTCCATGGTTGAATCAGCCACAACAGATCCGAATAGCTGGACATTCAGCTACTGTTCTTCCAATCAGATTCACATGCAACTTGAATGGCCCCACAAGCTCCCAACTACGTAAGTGCTTACCAGAGTGAAGGATCTAGGACTCCACCGTTGTCTCGGCACGTGCTCGAAAACCCAGGGGTCTCTGCAAGATGCGTTGTCCAGTCGGCTCCTACTCAAACCGACGCACTGATCTGCACCATCTCACCCATGAAATCGGACACGTAGCTTATAGGCTACCGGCAAAGTCTTCACAGAGGATGACGAACGGTCCGGGGGTTGAGTCGTTAGTGGCTGACCTGACCGTCATCTTGTGTGTTGGCTTAGTGAAGCTGGAGCAAGGCTGTATGCAACATGTGCAAGAGCCCAACGAACAGCGATGATTACTGACGTCGGTGAAGGCTGGGATCATGCCAGGAGGAGCTTCAACAAGACATGTTCTTGCTGAGTGTCATCTGTGGCTGCAGTGGTGACGACGCGGCAGAGATATAGGACGTGGGGTGGTGTTGGTAGGGCTGCCGAATGATAGCTGCTGATGCGACTCGCATACAGGATCGCCAGCTAGCCTGAGGGGTCTGCAGTAGGCAAGGTTCCAGACAGACGGTATGCCGGTGATGCGACCGGTCCCGAGTCTTGGAAAAACATGTCCTGCAAAAGGGTTGAAATGCTAGGGGACGAAGTCGAGGTTCGATGTTGCTGCTGTGCTAGGAAAGGAATGCTCAGGAAAGTCAACCATGTTTCGGTCGGCACGGGCCGGGATTGGTGCGGGCGGCCGAGTTTCTCCTCGTCCCCTACATTCCATTCGCTCGTAGTCGTGAAAGCCAAATCCACCGTCTCTCCACGCACCAACGCTATCGCCCGTCCAAGCTCCATCCTCCCCCATCTTCTCCTTGCGCTCCTATTGGTAGGCGCGTCATTCATCGCTCCAACGTCGCGACGTCAAGTCGCCATTGCCAACACTCACGCCTAACTGCGCCCGAATAACGCCCTTGATTCAACCCGGACCACGGCCTGTTAGCTGCCACTCTCACCTGCATATCGTCCCACCGCTACTCTCACGACACGGTCAGTGAATCGCCAGTGTCGCACACGAGATCGTGCCGCCGACGGTAATACACCAACGTCACTCTGTGTCGCAACTGCCCCAGTCGCGGTCGCGTCTGCTACTGTCGCAAGCCGCTCCTGCCACTTGCAGCGCACGTGTAACGCCAGCATCGCGAATAGCCTCAGGCGTCACCACGAGTAGTAGTTCACACGACGCTCCCTTGCGCCGTGCTCTCCGTTGTCGCCGCTCCCCACGTACGTTGGCTGCATCCCATGCTGCCTGCTGCATGCCACTAACCGCTTCTCTCGCCAGGCATCTCGTTACACCACTGACCGCAGGTTGCATACTCGGCCGCCAAGTTGTGCCGTCGTCTCTCCCAGTGACGTGGTCGCCAACGGAACAGTCGCCAGCGCATACGCTTCCGAGCAGGCAACCGATAATATGTCGGCCTCTCCCCCAAAACAGGAGGGTGTGGAACCAGTCCAGTCGCCTGACGAAGAACAGCCCATGGACAGGAACACAGAGGAGAACACAGCTCAGATAGGTTACGAATTCGAGGTCAAGGAGCAAGACCGATGGCTTCCAATCGCCAATGGTACGTTTATTTCCCTTGCTGCTTCCCGCCAGTTTGATTTGCGCACTGTTTCGCTCCAGCCTGCACGTCGACAGATTGCTCCAACGGGCGTCTCTGGATGCCGACAGTTCCTCCACTCGCGCGTCTCTGCGTCGAATCACGGAAAGCTGTACCTGCCGCAAGCCACTCAGGTTCTCTGTGTGCCTGGAAAACGGCTGGCGTGCAGCCTACGGAATGTCGTCCTCTTCTCCCCACTCGTCCGTTTCCCCACCGTTGTCTACGCCAAAGAGCACAAACGCGAACAGCAGTACCGCTTCCGATGCTAACATACGTAACTTTGCTCCAGTCGCGCGAATCATGAAAATGGCGCTCCCCGACAACGCCAAGATAGCCAAAGAGGCCAAAGAATGCATGCAGGAGTGCGTGAGCGAGTTCATCTCATTCATCACCAGCGAGGGTATGTCTTACTCCAAGTCTTTCTGATACAGCCACTGAATGTTTCGCCAGCGTCCGAAAAATGCCAGCAGGAAAAGCGCAAGACTGTCAATGGCGAGGACATTCTGTTTGCCATGACTTCACTCGGCTTCGAGAACTACTCAGAGGCCCTCAAAATCTACCTATCCAGGTATCGCGAAGTAAGCTGCCAACTTTTCTTACACCCCTTCTGTCCTTCTTTTGTTGCCTACTATTTGGCCGAAACGTTTATCTGAACTATTGGTATTGATTGGTGGTACGAGACCCTCCTCGCAAATCAGAACAAGCCACCCACTGGGCAGTTCGGTTCATCCGGGTCCGGCGGGCCCGCAGGCCCAGAGGGTCAACAGCATGTACTGAGTGGCGACTCCGAAATGGCCGAAGACGGCACCGCCTTTGGATACACGGTCCACAACGGAAACGGGAACGAGTACTAGTCGATTCGGGCTCCGATGGTCAACACGAAACGAGAAGAATAGAGCAGAGATTGCTTAGAGCATCTGTACTGCACCTTGACCATTGGAAAGGAAGAAGATCTCGAATGAACGAAGAAGAGACGGGGATGTTGATACCATTGTTATGGTCAGATTGTCACAAACGCGCCACTGTCGCTTACAGTTGGAGGATCATGTTTAAGGTTATGAGGCGTGGAACGGATGTACACAAATCTATTGCTGGATCTCACCCGAGGATCTTGTTACGAAAAGGGCTACGATTGGCTGGAGTAGGACAGGACACACATGGGCAACCACGATACCTTTTCGATTCTTGCTCTTCACTGGGTTACTGGTCTAGATCTTTCTTCTTGCTCACACGAGCTTCACAACATTCATTACATTCTTGGGCACAATGCCATCTTTTTCGCAACGCATTGCTGTGAACATCCTCTCATAGTAATGATGTTGAGGTCATATGTTCGCCCTTTCAGTGACTGTCTGCGGCTGCGGCTGCGGCTGCGGCTGCGGCTTGTCTTCGAGCGATAAGTTCGCTCAATGGCAGGTCGTCGTCTTGCTCATCGTAGAATTCCACATCTTCATCCACCCCAAAGTCCTTCAATCGTTCGCCCTCTGAATTTCGCCACGCTGCCTCGCCTTCTCTCCCTTTGCCACCCTTTGCCCTCTCAAGCTCTTCTTCTTCTTCTTCGTATCCAACTTCGTCGCTCGCATCATCCCCGTACGTAAAGTCCTCTTCATTTCTACCCAATTCACCATCGTCCACTTCTCTATCCGTCGCTCCAGCATACGGCCTCCTTCTCCTCACTGCATCCTCCGCCTGCCTTGCCTTGAAAGCAGCCACAGTGTCCTCTGCGTTCAGCTCTGATTCCGCATACCGGAATGCATCAGCATTAACCGCTGTCGCATTCCTCCTGTACGCACGATCTGGGTCCGGAGGCGGCCAAACCGTGCCCTCATCCTCAAAGCCGTTCGTCTCGAAACTCAGACCACTACTCAAACTGGGTGTAGCAGCAAAAGGGTCGAACCAGTTTATTGGATTCCTCGAGTTCATACCCTGAACCATGTTCGACCAGATTCCGATATCGTACGGGAATTCTTGTTTCCGGATCCGCATCTTGTTGCCTTCTGGGGTGGTGAGGTAGCCGCCGTATTGGCGAGCACGGCGTAGGAGGGTCTTGTGGCGTTCGATCTCCCAGCCTTCAATCGTTGTTTGATTGATAAAAAGGCACCAGAGGTTTCGTAGGAGGAGGACACCCAGGACGAAGAGGGTGATTGAGTTTGTGATTAGGACAGCAAACATGTGGCCTAGTTGGAAGGGGGAGGGCCCGAGGTAGGAGGGCATGTCCAGATTGGACCAGAGGTGAGAGAGGCGGGTGAACAGGAATGATTGGAGGAGGGAAAGTCCTAGGGTAGTATATAGGAGGAAACGCACGAAGTGGGGGAAAGTCGTGTGGCTAACACAGTTGTTTGTCCAGGGGCAATGGTGGTCCATCTTGGGAATACATCTGGTAGTTGTCAGCCTGGCTCACTGGTATTTCGGGCCAGTCGATTGGCGTCGAGGTGACGATTGTGACGATTGTAATGCCAATACGTGGTTGACCAGACCCATTCGAAACGCAACACATCATCAACCCCAGAACGAGATATAAGATGGGTATCTACCTTTTGCATTCCTTACAGTGATGGGCTCTAGGTGGTTTTGCAGCATCGCACTTTCGACACCATTTCCGGCTCTTTCCTATGCCGTCTACTCCGGCCTCTTTACTTGACAGATCAGCATTTCCCTTCCCTTTCTCTCCGTCCAACTCTTGCTTTCCAGCCCGATCTTTCGGTATTGTTCCCGCATCGACGAAGACACTCTTCGTGTATGTGATTAAGATCAGTACCAAGATGACATTCGACACAATGAGCTCGTTTTTTGTGAGCGGAGCGGGCTCTAGATGCATCAGTAGCCATTGTGAGGGATAACCGAGAAAGAAGATGAGAACGTAAACAGCGGGAACCGCACATTGGGAAATTTCCATTATTCTGGTGGCATCTGGGTAGAATGATGGGAGGTGGTAAGGGGCGTGATGATGCGGAGGTTCGCGTCGTGTAGTTTGGCAAGTGGATCGCGAAGACACGTGATTGGACGACCACCTAAAAGCAACAGCTTACACTATTCGTCCATCGCATCTCTCAACCACAACTTTCCATCACCCCCATCTCCTGTCCGCAGAGCTTCCGATGCTCTGTAAGCTTCACGAATGCCATGTCTTTCCTAACATGGCCGTTCTTCCTCCTCATACCGGCTTTTGTTCTATTACACCTGTTCGTTTCGCCGTACACGAAAGTTGAGGAATCATTCAATATCCAGGCTATTCATGATATCTTGGTACATGGAATACCTACAGAGAACTCTGATCAGTTCTTGACATCGAACTACGATCATGTCAGTTTTCCTGGGAGCGTGCCAAGGACTTTTGCAGGCGCTCTGGTCTTGAGTGGGTTGAGCAGGCCGTTTGTTGGGCTGTTAGGGGATATGGCCCAGGCACAACTGCTCAGTGAGTAAACACAGAGATTTTGCATGCAAGACTTTCGGGACTGATTACATGTGTGTAGTCAGGGCAGTACTTGGGCTACTCAATGCGGCCTCGCTCATTGCATTCGGAAGGAGCGTGCAGAAAGCTTTTGGTACTAGTGCTGGTGTTTGGTATGCTTTGTTTCAAGCAAGCCAATTCCATGCCATCTACTATGCTTCGAGGACGCTGCCCAATATGTTTGCTTTCGTGTTCAGTAAGTCCATACGATGTGTCCTATGCACTTCTTGGCTGATATCGATGTAGGTAACTTGGCGTTACGAAGCTTGTTACTCGCATACACCGTACCATGGAGCACTTCAAATATCTCAGGGTACTACCGACTGACCTTGTATCTACTCACGGTTGCGGGTGTGGTCTTCCGCTCGGAGCTAGCAATCTTAGTGGGAACAATCACCATCTATCTGTTCATCACACGAAGGATCTCGATCACAAATGTCATCATCCCAGCTGGAATTGGTGGCCTCGTCATTGGGCTCCTCTGCACCGTGCCTTTAGATTCCTTCTTCTGGCAGTCTTTCCCGCTTTGGCCCGAATGGACGGGCTTCTATTACAACACCATCCAAGGACATTCAGCTGATTGGGGCGTATCGCCATGGCATTATTACTTTGCAAACGCACTGCCGCGACTGCTACTGAACCCAGCAACGTTTTTGCTTTGTATTCCAGTTGCAATCATGAACACATCGACGTCTAGGCGAAGCTTGGATCTGCTCGTGCCACTAATTAGTTTTGTGGCACTTTACAGCTTCCTTCCGCACAAGGAATGGCGCTTTATTCTCTACGTAATACCGGGTCTAACTGCAGTGGCTGCAGACGGAGCAGCTTGGATCTGGACTCGCAGATCAAAATCCTTTGTATACGCCACTCTGAGCTTGGCCTTGCTAGGATCAGTTGTGGTATCATTCGCTGCATCTACTGCGATATTGGGTATCTCCAGCCTCAACTATCCCGGAGGCGAAGCTCTTCATACCCTACACAAAGAGATGGGACATCCGGACAGAAACCACTTTAGCGTGTACTTCGATAATCTAGCTTGTCAAACAGGCGTCACACGTTTTCTAGAGAGCCACAGAGGACCCCAGACGGTACTTGATGTTCTTGAAGCACAGGATACACTGAATAGCAGAACATGGACATACGACAAGACCGAAGACCCAGTCGCACTTCTAGACCCAATGTTCTGGACCAAGTTTGACTATGTTCTTGCTGAGAGACCAGAGAAGGTGATTGGTAGTTGGGAGGTAGTTCATACTGTGTATGGATTTGGCGGAGTCAGACTTCTGAAGCCAGGAGAAGAGAGCGGCTTGCTGGTCGAGTACCCGGATACAACAGAAAAAAACGTCACATCGCAAGACAAGTGGGCTTCGAAGGTTGCAGCGACATGGCATGGATTGGAAAAGCTGTTAAGGAATGGCCTATTGCGAGGATACTGGGCTGAGATTCGGATGGAGCCAAAGATTCATATCTTGCAAAATCAGATGAAATAGTCGCTCTATTACATAGTCATGGGCAATCATAAGTTCAAGTACGCAAGTATGAGATTTGGGCATTCGGTGAAAGTGTCAGTCGCGTTGAAGGACCCCTGCCTTACGTCGCATACCCCGCCACGCTTTCCTGCCCCACCAAGCTCTCTCTTTCGCGTCTACACCAGTCTCATCACTCAACTCAGCTGTTGTCAACTATCGATAGTACTTGATAACTTGAATTACACTACTTTTGCACAACATGTCAGCCGACGCGTTACCGAAACCGGTCGTCTACTGCGGAGGCGAGTATTTCCATGATAAACCCTACGACACAGGCTAACAAGAAACAGTGTGCAGTCTACCACCTGAAGTAGGTATGACGCCGAGACATGTTTAGAGAGAGCGAGTAACTAACCACATTATTTCATAGTACTGCGAGTTTGGTGGTACGACCAAGAAGTGTGAGGAATGGCTGGCAGAGGCGCACCCAGATCTGCACGCGAAGCTGTATTCAGCAGGTACGTCTAGCACACCATATCAACAAACCTATAACGCGCAATGGCTCTGAAGACAAGCTTGGATGCTAACGTCCTTCTAGAAGCGCTACAGCAGAACATGGCCTCACTTTCCGTCGACGCCCAAAAACGCGCCGAGAAAGACGCACAGAAGAAAGCTGCCAAAGCCGCAACCGCCGAAGCACGAGCAGCTGAGACACGCGCCTCCTCCAAAATCCTCATCAAACGCATAGAACGCAACAAGCGCAAATACGTCACCGCCGTACAGGGTTTGGAAGCCTTCGGTCTTGACATTAAGAAGGTTGCCAAGGACTTTGGCAAGAAGTTCGCTACGGGATCAAGTGTGACCAAAATCCCGGGTGGGGGCGAGGAAATCACTGTGCAAGGTGATCTGAGCGACGATATCTTGGAGTTCATGGTGGAGAAGTACGAGGTACCTGAGGACAACTGCGAATTGGTAGAGGACAAGAAGAAGAAGAAGGCCGAGGGAGGCTGAACGGCTTGAAGGAGCGTAGCAGGTGTGAAGAGACGCGATACCAAAACATTGCGAAAGCCTATGGAGAGTGAGGTGTGTATCAGTATAAGCGTAGGAGTTGTCTGCGACCAGTGCGCGAGCTGAAGATAAAGGAGCATTCGACGCGTCTCTCTTCTAGGATGCGCAGAGCCTCGTGTTTCCCCATTTTATAGAAAGCCTCATTAGTGCATAACGAGTCCATGATGTTGGAATACACGAGATTGAAGATTCGGACCTACCAAAATAATACCAACATGCTTTCCAAGAAAGACGGGCTACCTGTCCTATACGTGAGCACGAAGGCTCATGGTAATGTGATGGTGGCACGTGCGTGCTAGCTGCCTGTCGGAAGCTCCCAGGGCCATCATTTTTCTCGGACCGTTGCCTCTCACTTACATCCAACCTTAGGGCGCGTCCACAGCCCGACTTGTATCAATCGCACGGCCATTTTCTTTTCTTCGCTCTAAAGGACACGGCGACACGACAGCTCGCTGTACAAAAGTCCTATAATTTGTACGTCGCCTACTGGAGAAGGCGAAACTAGAAGCGCAAGCCGCGCCAGATCACGATACCCACCGCCACCATGTCGAAGGACCAGAGCAATCTCGGGCAGTACAAGTATGCGGCCATGTCGAATTTGGTCCTGCAGGCCGACAGGCGTCTCATATCGCGTCGGCCAGATGAGCATACTGGCGATCCTGAATCGCTCGCAGGTCGCATCAACATTAGAGACATGGGCGGGCGCACAGCGCGCGACAGCGCGAATGCGCAAGCAAAGAAGCTCAAGGGGCCTGGCGTTGAGCGAGGAAATCTGAATGAGGGTGGCGATGTTCTTGAGAGAGAGCAGCGCAAGAGGAAACGGGACGATGGCACCAGTGGTTTTGGAGCGATCGCGACGGCCGACCTCAACATCGAAGGCCTCACATACAAGCCGCGGACTCCTGCGACGCGCCAGACTTTCGACCTCATCACAACCATTGTGAGCAGATCCCTTGGCGACGTTGATCCTGCGACTACACGAAGTGCAGCCGATGCGGTCCTCGAATACCTCAAGGATGATACCATGAAGGACTTTGACAAGAAGAAAGAGGTGGACGATCTTCTTGGTACCTCGATGGGCGCAAAGGAGTTTAATGAATTGGTGAACCTTGGCAAGAAGATTACCGATTACGATGCACAAGACGACGAGGAAGGTGGTGATGAGGAGATGGCAGACGGCGATGGTGCTGACGCCGGCGACAACCAGGGTGTAGCTGTCGTTTTCGACGACGAAGAGGAGGACGAAGACGGGCCTCAAACATTCGAAGTGCGAGATGCCGATACATCAGACGAGGAAGATGAAGCAGAGGCTCCCGTAGAGCAGATTGGAGAAGACCAGGACCAAAAAGGTGGAGGCTTTGCGGAAACAGAGGAGACGATAATACAGGGCGACACCGTTACCTCAGACCGCAAGAACGGCGCAGACCAACTTATACCCGCACACGAAATCGATGCGTACTGGTTGCAACGGCAGATTGGACAAATATACGAAGATGCGCATATTCAGCAAGAAAAGACACAGGATGCGCTCAAGTTCCTTGCAGGAGTCTCGGAAGATGGCGAGGAGAAGGAGCTCCGTGAGATCGAGAACGATCTGATGGACCTCTTCGATTACGAACATCACGAGCTTGTTGCGAAACTCGTTCTCAACCGCGATAGGGTCGTTTGGGTAACAAGGTGGCGGAGGGCTGCCGAGGACAACGACGAGCGAACAGCCGTCGAACGGGAGATGAAGGCTGCAGGTCAGCAACAGATCCTACAAGAGCTTCGCGCAAGAGAGACCGGTATCAAGGCTGAGGATGGGTCTGAAACTGGCACTGGCAAGATGAAGTTCAACCTCAAGGACATCAGTCTTCCAGAGACCTCAAACGATGTGGAGATGGCTGATGCAAAACCAGAGGGCATTGTGGGTGGCCTGCAACCATCGAGCCGACTCGTGAATCTGGATAACATTGTTTTCGACCAAGGCAACCATCTCATGACAAACGCAAGTGTCAAGCTGCCCCAAGGATCTACTCGACGTCAATTCAAGGGTTACGAGGAGATCCACGTACCTGCACCAAAAGCGAAGCGTGACCCTAACGAGCCAGCTCTGATGCCTACCTCTGAGCTACCAGACTGGGCGCGACCAGGTTTTGGTAACTCGAAGTCACTCAACCGTATCCAAACCAAGTGCTTTCCCACAGCGTTCAACGACGATGGCAACATGTTAATTTGCGCTCCCACTGGTTCCGGAAAGACTAACGTTGCAATGTTGACAATGCTTCGCGAGATTGGCAAGCACCGAAACCCCACGACTGGGGAGATTGCTCTGGACGATTTCAAGATTATCTATATTGCCCCCCTCAAGGCTCTTGTCGCTGAACAAGTTGGTAACTTTGGCAAACGTTTGGAGCCATACGGCATCAAGGTTTCCGAACTTACTGGTGACCGCCAACTCACCAAGCAGCAGATCGCAGAGACCCAGATCATCGTCACCACCCCTGAGAAGTACGACGTCATTACCCGCAAAGCTACCGATACCAGCTACATAAATCTTGTTCGCCTGATTTGTATAGACGAAATTCATCTTCTGCATGATGATCGTGGTCCTGTCATTGAGAGTATCGTCAGCAGAACTCTACGACGTAGCGAACAGACTGGAGATCATGTTCGCATTGTCGGATTGAGTGCGACCCTTCCCAACTACCGCGATGTTGCAAGCTTCCTGCGCATTGACCCAGACAAGGGCCTGTTCCACTTCGACGCTACCTTCCGACCGTGTCCGTTAAAGCAAGAATTCATCGGTGTCACAGACAAGAAGGCCATCAAGCAACTGAAGACGATGAACGACGTCTGCTATACCAAGGTTCTGGAACAGGTTGGCGGAAAAGGTAATCAGATGCTTATCTTTGTGCACTCCCGAAAGGAAACCGCGAAGACTGCCAAGTACATCCGTGATAAGGCACTCGAAGAAGAATCTATAGGCAAGATTCTTCGGACAGATGCTGCCAGTCGGGAGATCTTGAGAGAAGAATCTGAGTCGGTTCAGAACACGGATCTGAAGGACGTGATGCCTTACGGTTTCGGTATCCATCATGCGGGTATGTCGCGAGCGGATCGTACTACAGTAGAAGATTTGTTTGCCGATGGTTCCATCCAAGTTCTCGTATGCACAGCGACATTGGCTTGGGGTGTCAACCTGCCCGCGCATACCGTCATCATCAAGGGCACGCAGATCTACTCCCCTGAAAAGGGTAGCTGGGTCGAACTCAGCCCTCAAGATGTCCTCCAAATGCTGGGTCGTGCCGGTCGACCTCAATACGATACTTATGGAGAGGGTATCATCATTACCACACAGTCTGAGATCCAGTATTACCTATCGCTACTCAACCAACAATTGCCCATTGAGTCGCAGTTGATCAGCAAGCTCGCAGATAATCTCAACGCCGAGGTCGTTCTTGGTAACGTGCGCAGCAGAGACGAAGCCGTAGATTGGCTCGGCTACACATACCTTTTTGTCCGAATGCTTCGATCGCCGGCTCTGTATCGGGTTGGAGCAGAATACGAGAACGACACCGTACTGGAGCAAAGACGTGTGGATCTTGTTCACGCTGCCGCACACGTCTTAGAGAAGTGCAGTCTTATCAAGTATGACAGAAAGACTGGTGCGCTCAACCCGACAGAACTTGGAAGGATTGCCTCCCATTACTACATCACACACAACTCGATGGCGACATACAACATGCACATCCAGCCCGGTATCAGCGCTATCGAGCTATTCCGAGTCTTCGCTCTCAGTGAGGAATTCAAGTACATTCCCGTACGTCAAGATGAGAAGCTCGAGCTTGCGAAGTTGCTGGGCAAAGTCCCTATTCCAGTCAAGGAGGGTGTCGAAGAAGCACAAGCGAAGATCAATGTTCTTCTCCAAGCTTATATTTCTCGCCTCAAGCTTGAAGGATTGGCACTAATGGCTGACTTGGTCTACGTCACGCAATCTGCTGGGCGTATTCTTCGTGCCATCTTTGAGATCTGCCTGAAGAAGGGTTGGTCACAAGTTGCAAAGCTCGCTCTAGACATGTGCAAGATGGCTGAAAAGCGTATGTGGCCGACCATGACGCCTCTTCGCCAATTCCCCACCTGCCCCAGAGATATTGTACAGAAGGCGGAGCGTATCGACGTTGGCTGGTCGAGTTACTTTGGCCTTGATCCACCTAGCATGGGTGAACTATTGGGTATGCCCAAGGCTGGTAAGCTTGTCTGTGGTTTAGTGGAGAAGTTCCCACGCCTCCAGATTGAAGCGACACCGCGACCAGTAACAAGGTCGCTACTACGCCTGGAGCTGACAATTCGACCTGACTTCGTTTGGGACACAGAGCTTCACGGCGCTTCTGAAGCATTTTGGATTCTGGTTGAGGACTGCGATGGCGAGCAAGTATTGTTCCACGACACCTTTATTCTCAGACGGGACTACTCAGATGGCGACGCCAACGAACATCTGATGGAGGTGACAGTGCCCATCGATGAGCCTATGCCTCCGAATTACTTCATCACCGTTCTCTCCGACCGATGGATGGCATCTGAGACCAAGCTTGCTGTCTCTTTCCAGAAGTTGATTCTGCCAGCAAAATTCCCTGCTCACACCCCTGTCCTTGATCTCCAGCCTTTGCCAGTTTCTGCTCTGAAGAGGAAGGAGTACATGGGGTTGTACGAGAACATTGGACGCTTCAACAAGGTTCAGACACAAACTTTCAATACCCTGTATACGACCGATGACAATACCCTGATTGGTGCATCGGCAGGTATTGGCAAGACCATTTGCGCTGAATTCGCCATCTTGCGACACTGGGCTACCAACAACGAAGGGCGCATTGTCTACCTTGCACCGTTCCAGGAGCTTGTAGACAACCAGTACAAGAACTGGAACGAGCGGTTGACAAGTCTCAGTGGAGGCAAGGACATTG